GAGAGAACTCCTTTTCCTTTCACTTCCTTTTATATCTGCCTGTGCTAATTTACTTGGCCCCGCCCTCATGGGCAGATAGCTTTGTGGGGTTCACTCCTACTATTCCCCTTTTAGTCTAAATAGAAGATTTAAATTTGATACAAGCTCAAACATAGACAACATATACACATAGAGGGTGATAATTAAGTTATAATCTACTTATCGTAAGCTAAACATATCCATTCCACCTAAATTCTAAACTTATCTGAAAGGGATGCCTAAGTCTGAACACCCCTTCCAATCCCAACCCTAAAATAATTGCGAATTAACACTAACAGGTGTAAACTATCCTCTAATATCAATAGTAGGGAGAAGGGACATGGAATTCTCAAATTTACTTCCTGCTGAAGTGGGACGATGACAATCATGGGGACCTGTGGGAAGAAATTATTAGTGTAACAAGAGTCTTAAGTAGGTTACTTAGTCTCTGTTTGGCAGGAGATGCTTGACTGAAGTTCTTGATTAGAGTTCTAATTTTGATTAAAGCTCTTATCTGAAGCTCTGATCAGATTGCAGAGATGCACTGTATCAGTTCCTTGGTCTGGAGATGTGTCGAGTGATGTAGTTCCAAGCTGGTTTCAGGATGGTGCTTGTCAGGTGGAGTCGATGATGTGGGGCAGTTTAGATGTATCCAGTCGAATCAGGCGGAGTCAGGGAAGTGAATCCACATTCTCTTTCTGAAGCAGTTGAAGATCGCTGTCAAGAAATCCCTTTTTCTCTGGAAAACTGAAATATTAAGGTTAAAAATTTTTAACTTTTATGTGTATGTATACTGGGAAAGGCAACCCTAAGGGAGATAATACACATGAAGGAGATTAGAGTTTTAGAAAAAGAACCAAGTATACACAGATGACAGTCCCTATGTTTGTTTTCTTCTGTCTTAGAAAGTCTGAATTGCATTTTAACAATATGCTTGGGTTTAAAGCAGGAGAGCCAATCCAACTCTAAAGCCAGCATTAATTAAATGAATTGGGAGTCAGGCATATTAAGAAGCAAAGAAAATAGAAATCACAATAACAAAATAGAGAGATTTAGACATTGATAACATGTTGTATTATTGCATGTTTGGTGGTCCTCTGGGTAGCTCTCCTTTCTTCTTTAGGTATCCATATACCTAGTATTTTTCACTGTTCAGAACTAATTTTTCCTGTAAAGACACAAACAGAACACTTCTCTTTCCTTTGATGAGGTCTCCTTACACATAGCAGTACATGGTAGAAGATGACCTTGTAGATGAGCCATCATTTTTCCTCCTCCTGAGACGTTTTCTGTTCTGATCAAATCTTAATTAATTTAGATGGGACCCAAAGGTTTTCTTCTCCTGTGGAAACAAAAGCAAAACCCCTTCCCCAACGTAACACATATCCTGGTTTCCAGACTGAGGTCATAACATCCTTAAAATACACTGGTTGGTTTAGTTCAGAAGTCTTCTCTGTAGTCCAGTGTCTTTCTGCTGCAGTTTGTCCTTTTTCATCAGCATTAAGAAAATTCAAAGTTAGTAAAGCGTTATGTAACCTGTGTTTGGGGGTCTTTGTTGCCCCTGGCTGTTTATAAAGCATCTCTTTTAAGGTTCGGTTAGATCTTTCAATTACCGCTTGTCCTGTGGGATTGTAAGGTGTACCAGTTACATGTTTTATATTATAATATTTGAAGAATTGTTCCAATTTACTGGAGACATATGCTGGAGCATTGTCAGTTTTTATTGTTTTAGGTATACCCATAACTGCCATCACCTCTAAAAGGTGAGTAATAACAGAATCAGTTTTTTCAGAGCTAAGGGCAGTAGCCCATTGGAAGCCTGAGAACGTGTCTATGGTATGTACGTATTTCAAACTGCCAAATTCTGGGAAGTGAAATACATCCATTTGCAAAAGTTCATTTTTGTGAATACCTTTAGGATTGCAACCTGCTGGTAACGGAGTTTGATTGTAGAATGAGCAACTGGGGCAATTTCTTACTATTTCTTTGGCTTGTTGCCAGGTGATAGAAAAATCCTTCTTTGAATCTTTGCTGTTAACATGGTGTTTCTTATGAAATTCTGAAGCTTCCAACACATTACCTACAAATAACCGATCAATTTCATCATTGCCTTGTGCCAGAGGACCTGACAGACCTGTATGGGATCTGATGTGTGTTATATATATAGGATGAGTCCTGTTTCTGGTGGTTTCCTGTAATTGTAAAAACAATGAGGTTAATTCTGTACTATCAGGAACAAATTCTGCGGTCTCAATGTGCAAGACAACTCTCTCTGCATACTGAGAATCTGTGACTATATTGAGAGGCTCTGTAAAGTCCTTAAGTACCATGAGAATGGCATATAATTCTGCCTTTTGTACAGAGTTGTAAGGGCATTGAACTACTTTATTTATATTTCCTGATTTATACCCTGCCTTACCTGCTTTGTTTGCATCCGTGTAGAAGGTAAGAACTCCAGAAATAGGTGTTTGTCTAACGATACGTGGAAGAATCCAAATTGTTTTTTATGAATTTGATTCTCCCTGATTTGGGATAGGTATTATTAATAATTCTCAAAAAGCCACTGAAAGCTATTTGCCAATACTCATTATCCTTAAATAAGGAGGAAATTTCATCATTTGTTAAAGATACAATAATTTCAGCTGGATCTTTCCCAGTCAGTTGACCTACCAAGACAGGTTCATTTGCTAGCCATTTTAAGGGCAGAGCATTCCGTTGTTGCATAGGTTTAACATTAGCATCCTGGTTTTTTAAAGCCTGTATGTTTGGCATCTGCTTTCTATAATGCCTTAAAACATTTCTTCTACCATCTAGAGTTTGTCAATAGAAAACACGGGACTATCTGAAGACCATATCAACACAAACAATGTATGCAAATCCAAGTAAAATCTTACCATATTGATAAACCAGAGAAGTATTCAAATAAGTGACTCTTGAAATCTGACTTAATTCAGTGCAGAAATTCTACTGGAGACTTCAAAAGTACACTTTCCCTAATGTCCCGTCCCGCAGGACATTCAACGTAGGTCTGGTGGATACCTAGGAGAAAGATGGAGGACAGGGCATACAGGAATGGACACAAAGAAAGGGTTCTGATCAAGGCGACAACTTTTATACAAAGGGATTTATATAGGAGAACTGAGGAGGGAAAGGGGGAAGGTGTACTTGCAGCTGCAGGGGAAGAGGTCAGTGGGAGAGCTGGTCTGCTGCATTGCCTGGCTACCTAATCTATAGGGCAAGAGGTCAGGTGTAGGAACTCCTATGTTGCTTGCTAACCTGACAGCAGGATCCGATCCTATTTATTATAATTTACTGCTGCTCAGGCCTGTTTCCTGAGGACCTTGTACTTTTCCAATTAAGCTAATCTTTAACTGACTGGTAAACCCCAGGCTTGTTACTTTGACTTTGCTTTATGTCACAAGTGGTGGCAGGGTGGTCTTACTATCATGTCTTGTCTATGAGTACATGATACACCCTAGCTCCCTGACAGCTGGAGGTCCCTGACATCTCCCCCTTTCTGGTTAAACAGAAATTAGGTGCAGCCTGAGTGTAAGTTACCCGAAAATCCACAAGGAAGATGGAGCCTGTCTTAGGTTCGATCTGAGAGGCTTCACCCCTTACCTGTCATTGGATTACTTTGCCAGCCTTCAAAGCTCCTGTCTTAGGGGGGGGAAGCATCAGAAGGGAGCCCGTCCATGGTCAGCCATCAATGGTGGTTCTGTATTTTGTGGGTAAAGGGGCCTTCCAAGGTCCCTGGCTGGGGCTGCGGGGGGAGCTATGGGGGGTCACGAGCAGATTATGTGCCCCGGGGGAGTTTGTATCTTTTTGCTATGTGGAGACGGGGAATATTAGGTGAAGTTTGCCTTCTCCTTGCCATTACTTTTGTCAGCCTTCAGATAAGGACCACCCTCTTTCATGGCCAGCCTATGATAATGGATCTGGACAGGCCTTGTGACATGATTATCTATTTGCTGTTTAATGAAGTGTGTCATACACCTCAGGGCCCATGGGCCAAAAGAAAAAAGCAATATAAACCCTAAACGGGGAGGGGATAATGTTGGGCAATAAGGTGAATAGTCTAAATAAATATATTGTTTTCCCTATATAGCCTTGATAGTTGGGTCTTCAAAGCCCAATAGACAAGGGAAAAAAGAAAAGTCACAGCCAGGATACGGAAGTGGGGCACACTGGGTAGGTAGATGTAGTTTGGGAAGAACAGTGGGCATCTTTCTAGTCTAGGCACAAAAATGTTTCAGTCTCAAAATATCTCTCTTGTAGAATTTCAGGGTTTAAAAGAAAATAGTAAACTAAAACGAGGTAGCCAGACATATATATATATATATATATATATATATATATATATATATATATGAGAGAGAGAGAGAGAGAGAGAGAGAGAGAGAGAGAGAGAGAGGGAAAGAATATACACAGCAGAAAAACAAGCTGGGGGGGCAATGAGTTCAGATTTCTTTGAAAACAAAAAGGAAGCAGATAAAAACAAAGTGAGTCGCAGAGGACTGAAGGAGCAGCGATGAGAAGAGGATGGTTTACAAAGTGGATGAAAAGGCTGTTGGAGTCCGGCTTGCTTTCTACACATCTCGAATTGAAGGCAGACATCTTTCCTCAACTCCTCGAGTGTTGAGTCGCCTAGTCCCTCCCGTCCCCACCCCATTTCCCAATGCAGTGCCCCAGGATACAGCTGGCAGTGGCTGAATCAGTCTCCATACCCTGCAGAAGAGTGGGCAGAAGCAGCAGCGTCCATCTCTCCACCCACCGGGAAAGGAGTGGAGAGTGGGTACATGGAGCAGGAGAACCCCAGATGCAGCCGGGAGGGGCCCTGGACTAGGAGAAAAGACCTCAGGCTTCACATCATGGCCCCTTCTCGGCCACTGCTGTGATCATGTAAGTGCGAGCGTGAGTGTGCGGGAACAGTGGTGGTTGCGGGATGAGCAGGGCGGGGCAGGGGAACTGATCTGCTGCCCTCACCTGACCTTCTCACTGTCCGTCATCTGCCAGAGTCCCAGGTTAAGTATCTTGAGGCAGGGCAGCTGCGTGATATGCTCCAGGCCGCGCTTGGTGATCCTGGTGGAGCCGTACAGGTCTATGCCCGTGAGCTGGCTCAGGTGCTCAGCGATCAGCTCCAGTCCCTTGTCCCTGATGCGCACACACTGTCCAATGTTGAGCGTGCACAGCCCGTGCATCTGCTGCACCATGCGGTTGATGCCATCATCACTGATATGGCAAGAACAAAGGGAGAGGGACTTGAGGCCATGTAGTCCCTGGGCTATGTAAGCCAGACTCTGGTCTCCAACCTTGTCACAAAAAGACACATCCAGACCGGAGAGGCGCAGGCTGCCCATGGCCAGATGCATGATGCCGGTGTCGCTGATGTTGTTGCAGGAGCACAGGTTAAGGCTGTGCAGACTGCCCATGTGCGACAGGTGCAGAAGGCCCGCGTCTGAGATGCCGCCACAGAAGCTGAGGTTGAGGAGCCTGAGGCCCTTCAGCCCTCGCAAGATGTGCTTCAGAGAAATATCTGTGAGTTTCTGGCAGTCCTGCAGCGTGAGCTGCTCCAGGCCAGGGCAGCCCTCGGCAGCGCTCCGCATCATGCCGGCCAGGTGCCCGATGCCCATGTCCGAGAGGTGGCAGTAGCTGGGGAGGTTAAGGCTCTTGAGGCGCTGCAGCAGAAGGCTGGTGTTGGTGATGTTGCTGCAGCCTCCCATCTCCAGCACCTCCAGGCCCTTGAGGTACTGGGCTATGCGGCCCAGGCTGCTGTCGGTGATCTGCTTGCAGATGCTCAAGTTGAGAGCACACAGGGAGCCGATCTCCTGCACGAATGCGTGGCCCAGGCCTTGGTGGTGAGGTTGGAGCAGCCGCTGAGGTTGAGGCTCTCGATGTTCGCCATGCCCTGGATCACTTAGCTGAGGCTGCTGAGGAGGCTGAGCATCTGCACCCGGCGGATGCCCCGGGCCTGCAGGCTGGGGAACAGCGATGGGTTCTCCCAGCGCAGGTGCAGCTTGGCCTCCAAGCCCCACCACAGCGACTTGTGGTAGGCGGAGTCTTGCCAGGCCGTACACACCTGCGCTGCACGACCCTTGTCTCGGACGTCCAGGTAGTCGAAGATCATGGCCAGCAGCTCCGGGAACAGGCACGAGATGTGGGTCTACATCTTCCTTCCGCCGCTAAGCCGTGCCGGGTGCAGGAGGCACGGGCGCCACCACAGCCGCCACACCGGGAGGCTCGGGCCAAAGGCCGCCCCTCCCCGCCTTCAGGCCAGGCCACCGCTCCTCCTCCCAGCGCGTCCTTGTGGCGCTTCCTTCCTGCCTCCCTTCCCGCCCCCCCGCGCGGCCGCTGGCACCTCACATCCCAGCAGTGGAGGGCTCATCGTCCTTGCCAGCGCTCTGCCAACCCGTGCCCTGCGGCATCCCATGCCCGGCCAAGTCGCTGCTGCGCGGCCGGCGAGGCCCGTGGCCGGGCACATGGGCTACGGATGGCTTCCTGCTTTAAATATGGTTTCTTTAAATTCACATTTGCTTCACCCAATGTTTCCTCTAGGATAAACCAGTGTAATTGAAGTTTTGAGTGTCTGGAATGATGACTCAATTTTTTCTGCATTGGCTCCTCCTCTTGTAGAATTGGGATGAATTTCTTGCACCTAGATTGCAACTCCATTTGAAGAGGATTATATTTCTGTCTCTGGTCTACAGTTAGCACCAGGAAATTGTGTGCTATACAGACAGGCATTTAGGGAAACATTTAAACACTAAATTGTAAAATATGTTAAAACATTTTTTCTGACAAAGTTTAGAGTACACAAATAAATTTTTCATAGTTTTATATAGCAAACCATACGATTATGAAAGGGTGTTCCCTTAATTGTTCTTGAAATGCTCTGATCAGTTTACTCCACATTTTTTGTGAAATATGCCCTGCTGAATGGAAACAAAATAATGAAATGATACTGGTATGTGCTTATGTTTGGGAGAGGGGAAAGTTTACTGATAGATATGAGGGAGAAACAGCCACAGGCCTCTAAAAATGTCAAGAATGAAGCAACAAATTAGAGGATGTGGGGGTAGATACTGGAAAAGACAAGGATGAGGAACAGAGAGGACAGGAACCTGAGCGACTCCAAAATCCAAAGTGACTGAGGCTATGAAATAAACACAGGATAGGGGAAGGGAATTGGAACTCAGGTGTTGGAGTGGTTAACAGTGTGGGCAAAGGTTGGGAAGTGCTGAGGAGCCAGTAATCTATTACAAGAGAACAGAACAGATATTAGAAATGTTGAGAAAAACTATGGACAGTATTCCCTTTGGAATATTAAATAGGCACCTCAGTCTTTTATCATTGATTTGTGAATTAGCATAAGTATATTCTTAATCTTTCTGGTGGCTTCTTATAGGACTGCTGCCACACAAATCGGGTGACATGAGATAGCTTGTTAAAGCCAGAAGATTCCTTTGCGTTTTTCTAGAATCCTAAAGGCCCACAGAAATCAAGGGGCTTTAGTTAGTCACTCTCCCTAGAGGCTAAGTCCTGATCTTTGGAGTCCATCCCTGCAGTCCATGAAGCAGTCTCATTTTTAAAGGGACAAATGCCAACGTTGTGCACAGTGGCAAAATAAAATCCATCTGCAGATGGGTTTCAAATTCTGATAAATCTGGTTATTTTTAGTCAGGATTTTAATATTAGTAAGAACTGCAATAATTACTACCAATTTAGTGATGATTTCATGTCAGAAGATGTGGAAAAATATACTTGGGGAAGCAGTTAATTGAAAGAAAAAGAATAAAATTCCTGCAAAGTACCAGTAGTTAGAAAGCATAAGCTTGGATTAGTCTTGATTTTTTCTTCCTCAAGGTGAATAGAAGTGCCATTTGATTTTTTATTGCATAAAGTAATGAATCCAATTTCAGTATATGATAAAATCTTATTAATATTGGTGATTTAGTAAACAATGTGTTTTATATCAGTAAGGCTACCATTAAATTTTATTTGATTGAAACTGAAGTGCAAGGAAATGTGAGAAACCAAATAATTGATTTTATGGAAATTTGAGTATATACTTTGGGACAGAAAGATCAAGGTTCACTTTGTGAAATGTTTCAATAGTCCATAAGGGAAGTAATGAATAGATAATACTAGACAGATGCACCACATTCTCAGCTTGAATAATTTCATAAATTGTACCTTCAAAATCCATGTGATTACACTGGGGCCTCCAAATCCTAACTCTATTTTCTTTTTAGAGAGCTCTCTTGTTATTCAATACTAAATGAAAACATGATTTCTAAGGAAAAAAGAATTGTTTCATGTATGGCTCTCATAAAATAACTAAAGTATGTGTGTGAGTATGTGTGTGTGTGTATGTGTGTGTGTATGTAAATCTACTTCAACATTTATACTCTGATTTAATCATGCAAAATGAGAGAGGCCTGTGCTGGTAGCAATGAGGTAGTGGAGCAATTAAATGTGATCAGGAGTTAAAGGCCATCCTAAATCACATGACAATATCTCTCAGTAAAACTCAACAAAAATTAAGCAAATAAATATCTTATGACTATTGTTTTAACTTTAAGATAAATATGGTTATATATTTTAAAGCAGGATCTCAGATACACCTGCCTGACATAGAATTAAATTTATATGTAAGCATGACCTTCACATATTTCTGCCTCCTCTTCTGACAGCTGAGATACCCCTTCAGAGAGCTTAAATTCTGTAATACCAATTTCATAATAAAACCAGAAAAATCCTAATTCAGAATGTCCATCACAATTGTGGTCTGTGTCTTACAATTGCATTTACCATGGTCAAAAATTGGATTCATTTAGAACTCCAAATACACACTACAAAGCTTTTTGAAATTCTTTAAATGAATTGAGAATGAAAATGAAAACATTTCTTTTTTATTTTTAAGTTTAAATTTAGATTAGAAACAAGGTTGCTTCACAAGTCAGTTCCAGGTCCCTCTCCCTTTCCCTCCCCTCCTCCCGTGGCCTCCCTCCAACCCCCCAATTATCCCCTCATTTCCCCAGGGAGGGTGAGGCCCTCCATGGGGGTGTCCATTTCTTGCATTCTTAAATCATCATCCTTAACTTGAAACATACCATTTTTTGATGTGTGTATGAGGAGTAAATGGTTATATAGGAAGCTATCTTTTTCACTGTGGAAATGCATTTCTAACTCAGATTATCCCCGTTTCATAAACAATTCAGAAGACCTAGCATACAGTAACTATCTCCTCTCTCTTGAGGTAATTTTTTATATATCAATTTTTACTTTGTAACTTGGAGACATCCTATTCTACCAATCTACCAACAGAATCCAGGCTAACTTTCTGTTGCTGACAATTTAGTTCCAGGTACATAAAGTGAGAAAGATAGTGAATATTAGGGAATAATAGGTGACAAGTGATGATAAGTGAGTAGGTAGGAAGAGAAGTAGAAATAAAAAGAATCTTGAATATATGTTGCTGTGGGGAGCCGCCCCCACATTCTCCGTTACAAGATGGCGCCGACATCCATTGTCGGTTGGAGTAAACAACCTTGGTGCGCACGTGCCTGCTACTTTTCCATCCCTTACTCTCTGCCTCTCCCGTGGCGTCATATGGGCTGACGAGCAGGAGCCAGTCAGGAGATGACATGTCCGAGGCAGGGACTGCTGAGCTATATAAGGGTTGGGCTTTTCGCTCCCCGGGTCTCTGCTCTGTAAGCTTATGCTCTCCCTCTCAAGATGCATTAAAGCTGTTCTGCAGAAGGATCCTAAGTGTGCCGCGTCGTTCTTGCTGGCGAGACGGTAGCGCGGGACATCTGGTGCCGAAACCCGGGAACTCGAGACCTCATCATCGTCAGCACCATCGGAGACCCCTTGGATTCAAGGAGGATTCAGAACTGCAGGTAACTACGCTCGGAGAGGTATGTTATTCTGGGACTTTGGATTGGAGCCTGTGTTACAATTGTTACATCGTTACAATTGTTAGGCGCGTTAAGTCCGACGTAAATAAGCGGCAGTGCCTGACTGTGTGCTTTAGTCTCTTGTAGATAAAAGAGCTGCGCGCGGTCGTTACTTTTGTTTCATTTTTAAAGAGGTAGACCGGGTAGCTCCTTGGTTTGCCTGCTCAGGGTCCTTGACTATTGCTTCATGGAATAAATTATAGCATGTCAGAAACCGAGCGTAGTGAGAGGTTAGGTGCACGTAAAAAGAAACCGGTTGTATCTAAGAAAGATAACCCCCCCGTAAATCTAAGGATAAGGGGAGCTCTTACAGTCCCCAAGAGGGACATTAGAAGATAAACAAAAAAGGGGAGAAGGCTTATACCCTTTTCAGGAACTGGAAGCTTGCACAAATGCAAGTCACACATACAGGCCTGCCCTACAATCCTCAGGGACAAGGCATCGTGGAGCGAGCACATCGCACACTTAAGTCTTACCTAATAAAACAAAAAGGGGGAATTATGAAGGAGTTGCCCCCAACACCAAGAGTGGCTATTGCCATGGCATTGTTTACTATGAATTTTTAAATCTGGATGATAAGGGTCAAAATGCAGCAACAAGGCATTGCTCGGATCCGCAAAGACCCAAAGAATGTGTAAAATGGAAAGATGTGCTAACTAATGAATGGAAAGGCCCGGATCCTATTCTAATAAGATCCAGGGGAGCTGTTTGTGTTTTTCCACAGAATGAAGAAAATCCCTTTTGGGTCCCAGAACGACTCACCAGAACTGTTATGGAGGAAAAGGATGGTGAGACATATTTCCGTGACAAAGAGGAACAACTTGACATTGACGGCACTAATTGCAATGAATTGGACCTATGAATTTGAGCAGAAGATTCGCGAATTGAGGGTCGCCATTGTTCAGATTAATTCTTCACGGAGGGAATTCTTCAGCTGTTTAATATTTCAAAGAATGGGTGGGGGTGGAATTGTTTGGAGCAGTCCTATGCTGCGGAATAGTGTTTATTCTCTGGCTGGTCTGCAAGCTCAGAACCCAAAACAAAAGAGATAAGGTGGTCATAGCACAAGCACTGGCTGCGCTCGAGCAAGGGGCGTCAACCGATATCTGGTTGACTATGCCTAAGCAATAGGCTGCCGACTGAACAGCTCCTGCACACCCGGAACTTAGGTTCATTGCACAGGGTAGAGTGTTTAGTCTGGCCTCCCAAG